GTTTTCATCTCAGGGATGCCAGATCCTGTAGAGGTACATGCCCAGGGAAGTTGTCTGACACACCCCATTCAGGAAGCTTGAGCCCCCCTCAACCCCTCCTATCCTACCGACAGCCTGTGGGGCCAGGATCTGGGTGAATCCAGCAGAGAAAGTGATGAGGACGACAGGGTAGGTAACCCAAGCCAGGTACTGGAGTAAGATGTTGGTGTTTAAGCCCCGGGACATCCATTGCTGAGCTGTGGGCACAGGAAATGCTTGCTGGACTTCTGGTGCACATATCCACACCTTGCCTGCCACTTGGACACACTGATATGACAAGTGTACAGAGCTGGGGCACAGAGAGACAGAAAGCCTGTAGAAGGCATTCACCGGGACAAAGCCAATCATAGATAAGACACTTGGAGGGCAGGCAAGAAGGTGTGGCCTATGCAAGTGGCAGTAACTACGCCTGGAGATGGGCAGTCAGCCTGGCCAGAGGAAGGGGCCAGTAGCCAAGTGACTTAAAGAACTGAGACATGGAGGAAACAGGTTGGCCCTTCCCAGCCTTTGCCCTCACCCTGTAGACAGACAGCGATGGCATAGTCCATGGCCCAACTGACCAATGCCATGAGGAGCCCCAACAGGACCAGGAAGATCCAGTCTTCACCAACCCTGGACACTAGGAACTTGTGGCAGCGTACAGAACAAACTGGAGGCAGGGAAGGAAAGACCCATAGAGAAGCTCTTATTCTTCTGCCTCTCCCCATCCCCCATGGGCAGCTCTAATGGTCTCTGCCTCCCCCAGTATAGAACAGCCAGGTCCCTGCCCCAATCTAGGTCTCACTGCGGCATCTGGCACATCGGCTCTGTCCATATTCCAGGAGCTCTGGGGGAGCCCGGGCAGAAGGGGACCCTTTCCAGGGCTCAGGCCCTCCCAGGCGAATCCGAGCAGCTTCCTCTTTGGCAAAGGCCCCAAGTTCCTGAGTGTACCGGCCATACATCTGGAGTGATAGACAAAATGTGGCGTTAGCATGTGTGGTTGAGCATACAGGGAGGGTTCCTGGGTTTTGACCCCCCCCCCCCCCCGCTCAGCTCCCACACTGTGTACCCCATCTTGAATCCAGTTCTCACTAGACTCAGAGTGTGGGAACAATGCATACTGCAGACTGCGGGGGCTGTCCTGGCCAGAGTGATGGGGACAGACAAGGTACAGGGACGCAACTCTGGGGGTGGCAGAATAATCAGCCCTCTGCTAGCAAGCCAGGAGTGAGGGCACTGGGGAGGAGAGGGAAGGGTCCAGAGGAGGGAACACATGGAAAAACCTGAGCCACAGTCTGAAAGTGGGAGGCGGGAAGGTCAGAGACTAAGGGATGGTCAAGGGCGCATGAACAACAATAAGAGGCTGGTGGAGCTGAACAGCTGAGCTGGGCCTAGGGTCCCAGCCCCAATCCTTATCACATTCCTGCTGGGCCTTTGGCCTGTGACCAACTCTGTGGCACCCTTCCCACCCACCCTAATCCCCTTGTCCTCATTCTCCACTCCAAAACTCCCATTAGCCCAGCTGAAAGAAGAAAGCCTCTTTGGGTCGGTAAGGCAGTGTTGGGTGATTTCAGTCAGACTCTGGGCCCGCACTTGGGGCCAGCGACAGGTCTGGGGGACAGCAGAGGCTGCAGATGGCAAGGCTGTGGCTGTGGATATGAGGCTGATGGGAAGAGAGTTATGGCTGGACCTGCCAAGCTGGGCGTGTGTTGGGGGGTGGGGAGGAGTAGATTCTGGCTGCCACCCTCGGAGCTTCAAGACACAAAGGGCTCCTGTTGGGGTTGGGGTTTGTGTGTGTGTGTGGGGGGGTAGAGACAGAGCGGGTGAGACATAGAGGAAAAGGAGAAGAGAAGAAAAGGAACTGCATAGGAAAGAGGGAGAAAGACCAGCGAGCAGGGAGGAGGAGGAAGAGGCCAGAGTATAGAAACACAGCAGGTGGGAGGAGGTAAGGGCAAGACAAAAGGGTAGGAGGGGAAGTGGGAGAGGCCAGGGCAGGACGGCTTGACCCTGAGAACTCTTTTCACAGACGCATGGAGATGGAGTGGCAGCTGGTGCAAAAGAGATACCATTTCAGAGGGTAGGTGCCTGGCTTCCATGGCCAAATGCCCCTCTCCTTGACCTGTGGATGGCAAGGATAACAGCCATTGCCAACAAAAGGGCTTGCCTGCACTAGCGTCGCTCGTACCTACCACCTCTCCCAGTCATCCTGTTTCATAGTCTCTGGTAATTGGGCACCTCCCTGACTCAGTTACAATCCAGGCCCTCTCTTAAGGAGGTTCCTCCCTGACACCCTTCAGGGCAAATTCCAGCCTGAGCTGATAAAACAGAGCCATAGGGCCAGTTTCTTTCTGTAGGGCTTGGGCCCCCCACCCTAGTGACATGAGGGTGAATGGGTTCTTAACAGTAGTAGCCATGAGTCATCGCGAAGCTCAGGACCCTTGCTTCTTATGAGTGTCAAGGGACACTCCATGGGCGTGGGTGGTGGTGGTGGGGTACCTGCCTAGATCCAGCTAGAACAAAGGTTTCAATTCTCACACCCATTCCTGCTTCCTGCATCAACTCTCAAGCTTCAGTCCCCAGGGTGACAAGCCACCTAAGCCACCTTTCCCAAGAGTTCGACTGAGGGGTTCTTGTCAATGCTGGACTTTGAGCCTTTAAAGGCAGGGGGTAGGTTTGGATTTGACTACTTGCCTACAGTATTTATGCCCAGCTTACTGTCATGCCATAGTAGGGCCACAGGGAGGGTGTTGAATGTGGATAGATAGGCATGTGGAGAAAGTTCAGAGGCATTAAAGGGTACTGGGTGAAAAAACAAAATTGTGTATGCTGAAGGGAGTAAGGGGAAGGACACCTGGGCCAAGCACCTGGTGTCATTGTCCTCTGCAGGCCACCAGCCTCAGCTAGAAACCAGCAAGCAGCTTTCCAACACCCTGAACCTACAGGCTGTCGGATCCGGAACCTCAGTTTCCACTGCTGAGGAAGGCTGAGGCCGGGCTTGGGTAGGCCGCCTGTCCTCACACTTCCTAGGGCAACCTGCACCAGTGGTGCCATAGCGCACCCCGTAGCTTTCACTTACCAGGGTCTGCTCATACTGCAGCGCCCGAGGCTCCATCCCTTCCCCCGCCGCCGCCGCCGCCGTGGCGGCCGCCATCTCGGTACACTGTCCTCTTGCCTCCCTTGGCTTCTCGGGCTCTGGCCTTGACTCAGCTCCCGACCCGCTGAGCCTGCGCCCGCACCCGTCCCGTCCCCTCAGCCCCGGCGGCCGAGTGCAGAGTGCGATGGGTCTCCGGGCGCGCGCCGCAGGCTCAGCCTCCTGCTAGTGTCCCCTCCTTGGCGGGCGGGCCGAGGGCGGTGCCCTGCTTGCCGCTCCGCCTTGGCCCATCTGCAGGGGCGTCCGGTCGGGCTGGGGTCTGCATTGGAGCCGCCTCCTGGTCTCCGGAGAGGCGGCAGGGGGCGCTTGCAACCCGATCTTGCACCCCTTCTCTGGGGAGGCCCGGGGCTGACCCGGCCCTGAGAGGGTGCTGGAGCCCGGCGGGGGCGGGTCCGCTGGCACGTGGAGGGGACGGGCTCTCTGGCTGTTGCAGCGTTGTGCGGGAGGGGCTGAGGATGTAGTGACTCTAGGGCTGGGGCAGGGGGCTGCTGAAAAGGCTCTCTCGGGCTATCCAGGCCAGACCCGACTGCGGCAGTCTCTGCTTGGCTTTTGCAGGCGGCTCCGACCTGTCTGGGAGGATCCCTGAGAGCCCGCTCTCTTATCGCCTCCCTTCCTCCTTCTTCTTTTCCTCCGGGTTACCCCCCCCCCCGGGAAGGTGCACCTGGAACTTCTAGGCCTGGAGAGAGGGGCGGAGGTGGAGATGGGAGGGGACGGGAAGGGGTGAGGCCCGATGGAAGGGAGCTATTGGTGCGGGGGAGGCCGCTCCTGGGAGGCGGGTGTGGGGGAGCAGAGGTCGCTCCTCCCAGGCATCGCTTAAAGGGGGAACTTGAATAGCAGCTGACGCCTCGAGGAAGCGGCTCACTGGAGCTCTGCGTTGTCTTTCGGGGACCCTGGAAGGATAAGGACATAAGGACAGTGTGGCGTGGGCACAAAGAGGATGGACAGTGTTAGGTTGGTGCCACTGGAGAGGACGGTGTCCAGAAATTTGTGTAGAAAGAACAGTACCAGGATGAAGACTCATTCAGGAAACAGGGTGCTCAAGCGGAGCGTACGATGCCCAGTACGGGGGCTGCAATGAAAGGAGGTAGCACCTCGAAAGATGGCACTGCGAGCTGTCGTCTTCCACTGAAAGGCCAATGTCGGGTGGAAGTGCACTAGATCAGTGTCCAGAAGAGGGTAGTATAATGGGGTGACAGGCAGTACCAAGTTCAGTTGGCAGTGTTCTAGGGGATCAGAATTAGTGCCAAGCAGGGCCAAGGGAAGACCGGAGTGGTGAGGAAGTGAAGCCCCAGGGGAGGGCACAATGCGGGCTTTCCTTTCCCTGAGAGTGACATCATGGCAATTCCCAAACCGGAACGACCCGGCTCGGGTGACGTCCAGCTAGCTGGTCCGAGCCAGCTCGGACCAGCGTGGGGAACCTTGGTGGCAGTCGGAGGGACTGGGCACTGCATCCTCGCTGGGCGGGCTCTCTGCGGGTGGAGTTCGGCTTCAGCCGCCTGCAGCACGGACTGTGCCCTCGGCGGGCACGCGGACCGCAGGGAAGGGCTAGGGCCGCGCTCCTCTCGGCCAAGGATCAAGGTTCCTGGCTGGGTTTGGCCCCCAAGCTTTCCAAGCTTCGGGATTCGGGGTCTGAAGAGGGCGCCGTAGAGCCGGGCACAGCGCGGTACCCGCGGTGGGTGGGATTTAGTCCGTCCCCGCCTTGGGCGGAGTCACCGCGCTTTGAGACGTGCCCACAAGGTCCGCCCCGCTCCGAAGTGGCCTTTCCCGGCGGAAGTTGAGAAGCCCCGAGGGGGAGGCAGCGGAAGTGGCTGCGTTGCTGCAGCCTGTGCGCCTGCGCCCTCCGGCTGGTTGCCGCTTTTGGGGCGGTACTCTGCCCTGTCTTCTTACTTCCACGTGAGGGGGTGCGCGAATTCCCAGTGGTGGCCGCGCGCTCCGCACCTCTGCAGCTCTCGTGCCCCTTACGATGGCGGGCATCCTGTTCGAGGATATTTTTGATGTGAAAGACATTGACCCAGAAGGCAAGAAATTTGACCGAGGTAAGGTGTGTAGGGGAGGTAAGGAAAGAGGCCAACATGCCCACCCACCCCAAGTGGCTCGTCCCACCCTCTCGGTATCTTCTTCAGGAAACAATTTTTTTCATAATGAGGAACTTGAGACAGCTTTTCCTATTATATGTGCGTTGTCTGGTGCCTGGGTGGCCCTTGACTTTGGTGCTGGTAAATCCCTGGACACCTTCCTAACTCCCTATTCAGTATTACGTGCTGTACCGCACGCCTCTCTCGCACACTTAACTATTTATTATAACAAGAGGTAGATGATGCCTGACCTATTTTGTTACTTAAGGCGAGTTACCTCCCTGTCTTCCTAACACATAGTTTTGTATTGCTCCAAGAATTGTTAGCTCTTTGCCAAGTCCTCTCCGAATTTCATTGAGCTGACTGCTTGGTGTATTAATTTTCCCAGGGATCCGGAAGTTGTTTCTTCTTAGTGTCACTTTACCTGGAGACAATTTTTTTTTTTTTCTTCCCAAGGCAGAGTCTCTCTTTGGAACTTGCTTTGTAGACTAGACTGGCCTTGAACTCACAGGGACAGGGGTCCATCTGCCTCTGCCTTCCAAGTGCTGGGATGAAAGGCTTGCACCCCTGCCCCCTGATTTTTTCAATAAGCCCTACCCTTGATTTTTTCAATAAGCCCTACCCTGCCGATTCCCTTCGCAGAGTGCCTACCAGGAAGAGGGGATCCTTGGATAAGTGACTCCCTTGTTCCGAGTTGAGTTTAGTCTGAATCATCCAGGTGTATTTAGAGCCTAGAGACTGGTTACTGCCTGAGAAGCTTTGCTTCTTTCTGGGATCCTATCACCTGCTGAGGTTTTTACTTCCTTCTCTGAATCTGATTTGGACTGCACTTGTGTCCCAGAGCGAGGCTAGCCAGAGTGGACCTGTTGGGAGATTTGTCCTCTTGCATTTGACCCCCACCCTGGCGCCTGTAATTATGTCTGTCGCTCTTTCTCAGTATCTCGGTTGCACTGTGAGAGTGAATCTTTCAAGATGGACCTCATCTTAGATGTGAACATTCAGATTTACCCTGTGGACTTAGGTAACTATTGAACACAGGCAGAAGGATGAGATTTTTTGGTCTTTGGTTTCTGCTTCTTCACTCTGGCGTTGGTGTTCTTTTTAGGTGACAAGTTCCGATTGGTCATAGCTAGTACTTTGTATGAAGATGGGACTTTGGATGATGGTGAATACAACCCCACAGATGACAGGCCTTCCAGGTGAGGCAGTAGTTAGTACAGGAGGAAGTAAATAGATAAGTAGTGCATAGAAAGGTCTTTATCGTTTTATTTTATTTTATTTTTTTAAAGGATAGCTTTATGTATTTATTGTGTACACAGTATTCTGCCTCCATTTTTGCCTGAATGCCAGGGGAGGACACAGGATCTCATTACAGATGGTTGTGAGCCACCATGTAGTTGCTGGGAATTGAACTCAGGACCTCTGGAAGAACAGCCAGTGCTCTTAACCTCTGAGCCCCTGAAAAGTCTTTATTTAATGCTAGGGAAAAACATCGCTGCACTTAGAATTCACACAACCAGAACTGGGTGTGATGGTTTGTGTCTGTAATTCCAGGACTCGGGAGATGAGGCAGGAGGATCAGGAGTTCAAGAACGCCTTTGGCTTCACATCAAGTGTGAGGCCAACCTGGGCTCCAAGAGACCCTATCTCTGAAAAATTTGAAAAACAAAAACAAATTCAAACAACCTGCTTTATTACTTACTGAGAGCAATGAGTGGAAGCTTGTGAGCTGCAGTTGTTTTATTTGAGACAGGGCCTCTCTTTGTAGTCCTGGTTGGCCTGGACTATGTAGACCAAGCTGGCCTCGAACTCACAGATGACATCCACTTCCCCTGCCTCTTCAGTGTTGGAATTAAAGGTATGTATCCCCACACCCTTTAAGTGTAGCTTTTTTTAAGGCCTAGGAAATGATTACATAGCCACCTAGATTTTGGGAGGGAGCTTGGTGTGATAGAAAGACTGTGGGGTAGCAGGCCTGGTGGCGCACATACTTCATCCCAGCACTTAGGAGGCAGAGGCAGGAGTTGCTCTGTGAGTTTGAGGCCAGGCTGGTCTACAGAGCCAGTTAGGACAGCCATGACTACATATTGAATTTTCCCTTCTCACTTCCACTACTTTCAGCCTCCATTTCCTCACCGATAAAATAGTCATGTCCAGGTCACTGAACTGATGTGAGAGCCAAATAAGGTCACCCTTCTGTGGCATTTCTTGTTATCAGTTTCCATTTTAATTATTTCTTATTTTTATTCTTTTGATTTTCCAAGACAGGGTTTCTTTGTGTTGCCATGGCTGGCCTGGAACTAGCTCAGTAGACCAGGCTGGCCCCAAACTCACAGAGGTCTACCTACCTCTGCCTCCCGAGGGCTGGGATCTTGCCACCATACCTGGCTCAGTTTCCACTTCTAAATGTCTTTTACATTGTTTCTTGCTGTGAAGAATAACTTTGCCTGTTGCTTGTAGGGCTGACCAGTTTGAGTATGTCATGTATGGGAAAGTGTACAGGATTGAGGGGGATGAGACCTCGACAGAAGCAGCGACACGTCTGTAAGTAGCATTGTCTGGGAAATCCTCCCCCTCCCTGTCGTGAAATTGGGCCATGCTTCTACTTCTGTGTTAGGTTCATTTTTTTCTAGTACCCTAAACGTACACAGAAGAATTTATCTTGAAAACAGTTTCCAGTCTGAATATTTGGTTACTTATGTCACCTGCTATCAGGATTTCAAGGCCCTGTGGCCCAGCCCACAGGAGACTTTGGTAACCTTGCTTTGTGAGGGACAACAGAGAATATCTAGTTTTCGTTTCCTTTTTTTACTTTCCCCTTTAAGATAATTTACAGTGGCACACGCTTTTAGTCCCAGCACTGGGGAGGCAGAGGCAGGCAGATCTCTGAGTTCAAGGCCAGCCTGGTCTATAAGAGCTGGTTCCAGGACAGCTTCCAAAGCCACAGAGAAACCCTGTCTCTGTTTTCTACTTTTGCTTTGCCCTTGTCAGGTGAAAATTCCCCTCAATTTTATTTTATTTTGAGACAGGGTCTCTCTGTAGCCTGGGTTGTCCTGGAACTAACAATATAGACCTAGGCTGGTGTTGAACTTGGGGATCTACTTGACTGCCTCCTGCTGCTGGGATTAAAGGCATGTGCCGTCCTCCTGATTCATTAGCCTTTTCAAAAAAGTATTTATTTGTTTATTTGTATGTATGCATGCACCTGGGTGCTTGTATGTGTACCATGTGCAGACATGAGACCACCAAGGTCAGACGGGGCATTGGACACCTTGAAAATGGAGTTATAGGTGGTTGTAAGATGCCATGTGGGTACTTGCAGGATGAATCCAGGTTTTCTGCATTCTTTAAAAACAGTAAGTGGTCTTAAAGGTTGAGCCATCTCTCCAGCCCCTTCCTCAGTAGTCTTAATAGCTGTGTAACCTTGTGTAACATTGCAATGAATGTTGACACCTCCATTTGTGGGAACAACATTGCTGTGAATGGTGACACCTTCATTTGTGTGACTACTCTCCTGTTTTGGGAGTAGCAGTGTTTACTTCTCCACTAGAGTAAAACATTGTGCATGTCTGCATTCAGTTTTGTCCTAGTTGTTCATTCTTAATGACAAAACACTAGGGGAGTGCCTTAAAAAAATGGATGGAGAGATGCTGGGAAGCAGCTGCTTGACAGCTCAGACTCAGGACCAGGGACCTTCTTTTTCAGCTCTGCATATGTGTCCTATGGGGGCCTGCTCATGAGGCTTCAGGGTGATGCCAACAACCTACATGGATTTGAGGTGGATTCCAGAGTGTATCTGCTGATGAAGAAACTGGCATTCTGAACCTCGAGGGAAACCAGCTTTGCTGCTTGGTTACTCAAGTCATGGACATTATTTGAACCTGAGCAGAAGCTGGTGGTATTGGTCTGTGTGAGGGACTGGGCTCTGTGTCCACTCCAGGTACATCTTCAGTTTGTCTGAATTCAGTGGAAAAGTGACTTGTCTGTAAAAGGCCAAGTGGTAGAGCTCAGCATGAATCTGAAGTTGTGTATGATTTGTTTTTTAATTAAAGTTTACTTTTTCAGACTCTTCTCTTGAATTGGGGTGGGGGCATCCAGGGTTTTGCTTTTGCTGTATAGTACAGCCTGGCCTTGGACTTGAGCCTCCTGCCACTGCCTTCTGGGTTTCTGGGATTGCATCACACCTGGTTTATGCAATGCTGGGTATCAGAACCAAGGCCCTTTTGTGTGCTACAAAGGGAATCCCCCCAGCCCCCACCTGTGTGTGCCTGCTCGTGCTCGAATGTGCACGCTCCCAGTTCTCGTTCACTTTTCGTTTTTGTTTTTGTTTTTGTTTTTTTTCCAGACAGGGTTTTTCTGTATTGTTTTGAAGCCTGTCATGGAACTCAGCTCTGTAGACCAGGCTGATCTCAAACTCACAGAGATCCATCTGCCTCCTGAGTGCTGGGATTAAAGGCGTGCACTACCACTGCCTGACCTCGCTCACTTTTTTTTTTTTTTTTTTACCAGAAAGAATTCAAGGGGTTTGCTGCTGCTGTTGTCATCATCATCATTGTTTTCATTGTATTTATCAGGCTACTGAGATGAGTAGTGAGTTCAAGTACCTACTATACACATAAAGGTCTGCATTTTTATCCCTGGCACCTATATTAAAAGCTGAGCATGTCACCCTACCTATAACCCCAGCCTAGAAGGTGGGCACAAACGAGAGGATTGTAGTGAGGGCTGGCTGCCAGCATAGCTCGAGGTCTCCTGAGACAAACTGTCTCAACAAAATAAAGTACACAGTGATAGAGCAGAGCCCAGCGTCCTCCTGGGCCTCCCCAAACTCGCCTACAAGCATACGTGTGTGTGTGTGTGTGTGTGTGTGTGTGTGTGTGTGTGTCTGTGTGTACACCCCATACATATACACCATACACAATGGTTTTAAAGAAAATGACCCCCCCCATAGAGAGTGACACAATTGGGAGGTGAGGTTTTGTTGGACTAGGTGTGGCATTGTTGCAGGAAGGGTGTCACTGTGGGGGCAGACATAGAAGTTTCCTGTGCTCATGCTACACCCACTGGGAACACAGAGTCCTGCTCCCTGCTAATGAAGATGTAGAACCCTCTGCTCCCCCAGCACCATGTTTGCCTGCGTGCCAGTTAAACCTCTGAAATGTCAGCCAGCCCCAATCAAATGCTTTTCTTTCTAAGAGTTGCCATGGTCATGGTCTCTTCACAGCAATAGGAACCCTGACTAAGACATACACTAAGATAAATGAATGAATAAAAAAGAAAAAATAAAATTAAAATTCACTTACCAAAGCAAATAAGATTTTGAAGAAAGTGTTTTCTGTTCCATGACTTGAGAGTAGTAGCTAAATGCTTCCTGAAACTAATGGGTTAAAAATTCTTCCACTAAATGTTTTAAATCTAATTTTCTTCTCCTTTGACCAGTATCTACTGTCTTATTTTCCCCTTTAAAAAGCCTTCCTCTAGAAGTGGGCAAGCGAAAGGGCAGAAGGGAAGTGAGGTTACACGGGAGGGTGGGGGGTGAAAGTGGGTGTTGACTAAGATGAGTCACAAGGGACTGAACATGGGAACAGGTGTCATTGAAGACAGTGTCATAAGCAACCTGAAAGGACATATGTACTCATCATAAATGCCTGACTCACCTGCAGCCCACTCTGAAACACTTACATGTAAAGAAACTCTCTTTAAAACTTTAAGTAATAAAATGTAATTCTAAATGCTCTTGACATAGATAGACATCCAGACTAGAAGCTATGTGCTTTAAAATCTTCGTTGTTTATTTGCTCATCCTTGTAGGGTCCTATGGACACGGCAGAACACCACTTCATCTCAGCCTCTCATTGGCTACATTCTGGGGCTAGATTCTTTAGCATCCCAGTGTCCCCTATTGCTCGCTTTCCATTTGGTTTCCTCCTTTGGAGTCCTGCCCTTTTTCACCCAGAGTTCAGACATTCTAGGCCAGCTTCTCCAGTAAGTGTATTGGTGACACCAGCAGCAAGACCCATGGGCACAGCATTTGGCCTCTCTAGGACATCAGTGGGCATGTACACACTACAATGGGCATAAACAGGATCCCTGAGAGGCTCCACAGTTACATGCAAAGGTTTGGCTAGTCTGAGGCTTTGTTTGCTTGCTTGCACTGTATATCTATTGTGAACAAATCTGGAACTCCTCTTGTGTCCTTCCTACCATTTGTATAAACTGAAGAAATGTAGGTGGGAAGTAAATAATAGACTCAGGATATACCAGTGTTTATCATGAGAGAGGAACCAGGTTCAATTCTCAGTATCTCCAGTACCCACCACAAATGTGAAAACAAATTCAAATCACAAAGCCACCACACACGCGGACACACACACACACCTGAGGAGAGCACAGGCGTCAGCTTGTGTCCTTGCTAAGGTTCAACACTGATCCAGTTTATCTAAGTTAATATCAATATTAATAGTTTTGTGCTCTTACTTTACTAATCATTTTTTAGGAAAGTGCCATATTGCTAAATCAACAATTAGGAGGAAAACAGAAGAAATGGTGGTACAATTAAATTTGATATTTACAATCTGAAGCCAGGCTTGGATAAATACTTATTTGAAATAAACATGAAACTCTCTGATTATGAAACTGTTGCGGGTGTCCCCAGGAAATCAGAATACAGAAAACTGAAAGCTAATTTATTCCTTTTAAGCCCTTGATTATAGTGCTTACCTAGCACATGGGATCCCATTAAAGGGAGAATCATAATGTGCCTGAGAAAGCTTATACATTCCTGGAGTTCCCTGACTGTGTAGGGCTCACAGACACTTCTGGTGATTGTTAAGAGACGAACCAACAAAAGACTAAATACCTAGAAAGAACAACTCATATGCACTTCAGTGTTCTTTTCTTGAAGACCAAAGACTTGTTTAGGCAGTGCTGCTTATGTATTCAAAATAGTATGCAGTCAAGAGTTCTTCCTACCAAATTAATAATATCTCATGTCCAGAATCTCTTTGTGAAGTACAGCTCTTGTGAACTGCCCAGAGAAAAAGCTCCTCAAATTGTGCTCTCAGAGCCACCTCCACCTTCAGGGCTGTTTCATTCCTAGCAGAGGCTGACACCTAGTCCAGGACAAGGCTCTGCATCATTCTTGATGTGGATGCAGGCAATCTTCTGTATAAAGGGTAACTAACAATTGCAAGAAGGTATCTTTTTGCAGTATCTCCCATCTTTTACTGAGCAAAAGGGAACTCTATGCTTCTCTGCTACTTTGGACTTCTCCAAGAAGAATAAGAAGCAATGAAGAAAGAGAAGAGACAAAAGAAAAATTAATTCACACTGTCATGATGCCTGGGATTGCAAGAATTTCCAGGAGTGAGTGTGTGTGTGTGTGTGTGTGTGTGGTCCCCTTTCTTAGATTGTGCCCTATGGAGCAGCTTTTTTAGTTAATTTATTTACTCCAAGTACATGCTCAAAGAAAGCAGCTCAATAAGTTAAGAGATAGGAAGGTAAAGAAGGGAAGAAAGGAAGGGGGGAGGAAAGAGGACTTGGAAATGAACATGATATTCTGAACCAGCATTATTGCGTTGTATTATATAATAGCACAGGATATACACTCTATTCCAAAATGCCAGGACGGGAGCATAGTGAGGAAATAATGGACCAAAGCAAGACTGAAAACCAGCTGGGCAAACTCCAACCTCTGCATCTCCATGTCTGATGTCCAAACACTCTTCAGATCTCAATTCCACTCAGCTTTGCTGACTGCAACACACTTCTTTCTCTTGGGCCGCTTTTACTCCTTTTTAGCAGCTCTTCTCAGCAGGTGTCTCATGACTCTGGCATCTCAAACATCTTGGGGTCTCCAAGGCAACCCAGGCTTCACTTTCACAGCTTCACACAATGGCCTCTCTACTAGGCCTTCATTTAGGGATACTGCTGACACATGCCTGACCTCAGTGGCTTTCTTTAGGTGTGGAGGCAAATTCCATAACCCATTTCTTCTATTCTAACTCTAAAGCCAGAACCACGTGTTCAAAGCTTCCAAGTTCTGCTGCTGACTGGGGCTGGAGCATGGCCCCCTCATTCAATTACATTTTTATCAGCTTTCTCCTAAGTTCAGCTGTCCCAAAACTGGATCTCTAGACCAGGCTGGCCTCAAACTCAAAGATCTGACAGCCTCTGCCTTCCCAGTGCTGGGATTAAAGGTGTGCCATACCACACCAGACTGAGATTTTCTTTACTTCCTTCTCAAAAGTTAGAAACTGAGCTAGGTGGGATCTTGCCCTGAGGTCACCACTCCCTATATTCTACTGCTACTGCTGGTCTTCTCAAAATTTACATTTTGCAATTTACCCTGCTCAGCTTGCTTCTTTTCATTATAAACCTTTATAAACAGAAACACTAGTAATCATATGACATATTCTATACTAGGGCTGTTTTGAGATGTCTTCTGCCCATGGGGAATCTATCCAAAATTCTTCATTGTAGCACTGGGCAGATTCTTTGGACACCACTTTCTTCACCAAAATATTACAAGACCAGTCTCTTCCATCATCTGGGGCCTGGGGATTGATTAATCCCAGGATGTCAGGACAAACTCCTTTACCCCCCCTTTTTTTTTCTTTCCTGGTCCATAGTTGTTCTCTTGATGTCCTGGTGACCCTGCTGGGATGCCTAGGGTATTTCCTTCCCCATCTTTTTTTTTTTTTTTTTGTCTTTACAAGAGGTGTTAGAAATAGTGTTTAGGAAAATGGGCTGAGAGTAGCCTCAGCAGGGAAGGTTTTTCTTTTTTTTCCTGTCAACAGTAGGGTGTGTGTGACACATTGGGGGTTGGGGTGAGTTTTAACAGAATCTTTTAATCATCCCCTGGAGTTAGTTTTTTAGTGGTTGAGAAAAGATGGGTAAGATTACAGTGAGAGACCCTCATTAGAAATAGTAATAGAATGTCGAGTGGACAGTAGGCTGCCCCAACATAGGAAAGGGGGTCTTTAGTAGAAAAGCTTTCAACATTTCATTGTGTGTGTGTGTGTGTGTGTGTGTGTGTGTGTGTGTGAGGGAGAAGACAATTTTGAGAAGTCCCTTCTCACTGCTATGTGGGTCCCAGAGAGTGGACTCGTGGTCAGTCTTAATGGTCACTTTTAGTGGCTGAGCCTTTGCCAGCGAACTCTTGTTTTAGTGTGTGTTTGGGGTATACGGGATGGGATCATCGGCACAGAATGGTTCTGCTCTAGACTTTTCACTTTGGGTTTGATGGTGCAGGATCAAACCCAAGGCTCACCTAGGCAACAGTCATGTCACTGAGCTGGCTCTCTGAGATGCCAGCTGGTCATATAGCCTAAGATGACCTTGAACTCGTGATTCTCCTGCCCCAAACCCACAGAGTGCTGCTCTTACCAGCATACACTCCGTCACACCTACTTTCAGAGTCAGTCTCAAGAGGGTAGATTTCAGATTGGTTTAAATTGTAGAAACCAGTTTCTCAGATTAGTCCGTGTCAGATGCCTGGAGCCTTAGCCAGCTCAGAATCCCCACATGTCTTCTGACCACCGAGAACCCACATTTTTGGCCTCTGGCTTATCTTGTTCTGGGTGCCAGCTCTCCTTGCTGGAAAGTGTTTGGCTTGCTGATTGTGGTTTTTGTTGTTATTGTTTTTATTGTTCTGAGAATTGAACCCAGGACTTTGGGTGTGCTAGGCAAAAGCTCTACTACTGAGATATGTCCCTGCCATAATACAAATTAATTTTTGAGACATAGTCTTTTGTACTCTAGGCAGGACTCAAACTCCTTATATAGCAGAAGGTGGCCTTGAACTCCTATCCTCCTGTCTCTGCCTTCCATGTATTGAGTTTACAGCATGTGCGGTCATGTTCAGCTTTTTTCCCTTTTATTTTACTTATTAGTGTGTGTGTGTGTGTGTGTGTGTGTGTGTGTGTGCAGCCAGCATGTGATGACATGCATAATGAGGTTGGAAGACAATTTTTGGGAGTTGGTTCTTTCCTTTTCCATGGTTCCAGGCATCAAACTCACGTCAGGTTGCACATTAAGGACTTTGACCTACTGAGCCATCCCGCTCTTCCTATTTTTTTTTAAATGTTAAGTTTAACCTCCTTTAGTGTTACAAATTATACTATATGATCCTAGAATTAATAGTGTAGATGAAACACTCTTGTGTAGAACCTGACTGTGCCTCGAGATTTTGATAACACTTTTTAGCTTTGTGCCTACAGGGACACCTGCCCATGGAGACACCAGATGTCTGAAGAGAGTATTTACCCTCCAAGGACGTGGACATCCCTGCAATGCACAGACTCACTGAAGCACATATCAGACAGGGCACCATCACCCTGCATATATGAATGGACTGTCACTCAGGCTGGGGGTCCTTTTTCTGCCTGGAGGCTATGTGACCACTGGGAAGCCCATCTGGCCTTGGTGTATTTATGTGTTAAACAGATGGATAATACTACCCATCCTACAGAGTTGTGGTGGAGATTCTGGGGCACCTGCTGCCTATGTGAAGAACCCCCTTTCCTTCGCTTTTTTTGTGGCAGTGTTTGGAACGCTGACAGCCTTCTTCTGTGCTTACATGGTGGCCTTCCCTTCTTTACTGGAGGAAGAGGTTCCCAGAAGCTTTCTCACAGACTCTGTGGTACCAGGTTGACCCTAGCAGTACTTTGTTTTTATGCAACGTAAACTTCTAGCACCAACGAAGCACTTACTTGCAAATCCCCAGGAGTCTGCCTTCATTTTGGGGGTTCACAGTAGTTTGTGGTGGTCACACAAGGCTGCTTTTTAGGTGCATTTGTGGAAAATAGAAAGAACTACTGCTCTGCACTTGTCCTGCTGTGTGAGCTCTGGAGCCTGACTCTTGCCACTTCCTGCACTTCCGCCTGACCTCCACAGGAGGGAAGCAGGAGCCCAGGCCTGGCTAAGCTCCTGCTGAGCTGCTGATGTGCCTAGTTATTTGCTCAGCTGCCGCTTCCAGGTCTGGACTTTACCTAATCGTCTGCACAGCCTTACCTGGGGTGTGGAGTTCCCTAAGCTTCCTGTCAGCACTCTGGGGAGGTAGGGTGCAGGACATCTGTTGTCCCAGTGAAGACCATGGCTCCCTAGAGTTTTCATTGGCTTTTGGATGCTCTCATTTATTCTCTTACAGGCTCAGTTTTGTCTCTAAATAGAGGCAGTCTTTCTAAGAGGTAACTCGATATTCCTTTATCATGCGCAGTGTCTGTTGAGGACCAGTGTCACTGAGACTTACAACGGTGACAGGAATGAGGGCACTGGAGGCTTAAACTTGAAGCAAAGGAAGCTGCTTTTTTGTTTTCTCATACAATGTTAATCTCTATCTCGGTTCAGAGGCTGGACCAGTCTAGGCCTTTGTAGAAAACACATATAGAGAATTCGTGATTTTCAAATTTATACAGAAAGTAGACCAAAAATAACTAGCTGCTCTGATGAATATTGCTGATAGGTTAAAAAAAAAAAAATAGCTCCTAAGACACTATGATAGTTTGCCCTGTGTATCCCTTTCTCAGGGTTTTGGGTTTCAGGGAAGACAGGAAGTCTAGTGCACCTGCCTCTCAGAGCCTCTTCAGGGGAAGGCTTGTGCCTGAGAGACCTTGCAGATGCCGGCTGTGGGCTGTGCCTGTGTGCCTTATGCTTCCTGAGACAAATTCTGGGAATGAGGGTACACTCCGACTGGATGAGGGCTGGTAGAGTTAGGCACAGTGGTGGAGGGATTAGGAAACAGATGGATCTGGGGTGGAGACCTATGGGTGGGCAAGGTAGGTGAAGGAGGGAAAAGTCCAGCAGGAACATGGGTAGGAGAAGGAGGGTGTCCACTTTGGAGGTTGAATGGCAGGGAGCCTTTGTTCAAAGCTCCTAGCAGAATGTTTGGGGCTTCCAGGGTCTGAAGTGAGGCTGCAGCAAAGAGCCCTTGAGTTCCATTCAGAAGTCTGTGTGTCCTGTTCAGGAATCCAGGGATTTGGTCTGTGAACCTGGTAGTTTGATTCAGCTGACCAGGGATAATCTTGGTTCTGAGTCCTTGAAGCCTGCTCAGAAGCCCAGGGCCAGGAGCTCTGGCTAAGACACTGAAGTTCGTCTCCAACAATCCAGAAGTCCTGTTTGGGAGCTTGTTTAGAGAGAGGAGTTGGGAGGTATTTCTTGGGACAGCTGTGGTGGGCAGGGCCCTTCGAACGCAGAGGGTGGGACCTTCTACTAGCAGCAGGAAGCGCACCTTTCCTCGGAGCAGTTGTTGCAAGCTCAAGAAGATGGCATTGGGATCCGTGTGAGTTGTGGTCCTGCCCTGTGGGGGAAGCTGAGGGCAGAGGATGGGCCTGAGGCCAGAGAGCAGGCCCACATACCAGGCCTCTCTTGACTAAGGAGAAAAAGTTCATTGCCAGCAGACTCCTTCTAGGCCAGCCTTTCTACACTGAAGGTACCCAGAATCCCTTGTCTCCCCCAGGTCTACAGAAGGATTGAGTGAGAAGGTAGTAGTTTCTAGAAGTCTTTTGTCTGCAGACTTACCTGGGTTCCTAGGAGGCCCTGCAGGGCCCCTAAGAGGAGGCGAACCTGCCCAGAAAGCTGTCCCAGGAGTGATGAAAGGCAGGAGGGTTCCAGCTGTCCTCGTGCTGCCACCACTCCTTCCAATAGAAGGGACACTGCCCCTAGAATGTCCTGTGCCTTGCTCTGTTCCTGAGAAAGACAAGAGAGGAGAGAAGTGAACTGCTTCAAAAAACGTGCTAGTAATGGGTGGGGAGCCCATAGGAGTAGCCAGCGGAATGAATCATAATCATAGGAGCTGGGAATTGGACAGGATGAGGGTCCCACCCATCACAGGAATTCCTTTGCAGTCTCTGGTCATTGGCCTCTGCTTCAGTAACACCAGTGTCCATCAACCTAGCCTGGTCTTGCATAGACTTTTGGTCAGAAAGCCACCCCACCTTAGGGCAGCTTTTAGCTCTAGGATGCAGGGCTGCAAGCTTATTCTTTCTGTTACAAAGTTGTAGCACAGCAATTTCTAAGCTAAATGTAGCAGCAAGACTATTATAATAACCACTGCCAGGGACTTAACAAATGGCAGAGCTGGGTGTAGAGGCACATGCAAGTAATCCCAGCACTTGTGGGGCTGAGACTGGAGGATAACAAGTTCAAGGGCCAGCCTGAAAGACTCTGTTACGAACACAGAGCTAGAGCTGTGATCCATAGCACTAATCCTTCTCCAGACTCAGGACCCCTACAAGAGTTGAAAAGGAAGGAGACTCTGGGGGGTACAGGCATGTGCCACCTGGCCTGATTTGCTTTTATTTATTGAGACAAGGTCTCACTGTATAGCTTAGGCTAGCCTGCAGCTCATCTTTGTGCCCCACCCTCTGAGCTACTGGGATTTCTGGTTTGTGTCACCATGACCAGCAAGGGTTTGAATCTTGATTTTTCCTCTATTTTAGCGGTACTTTCTGCTTTCTGTCACCTGTGGGCAGCAGATCAGACTTCCTTCATGCCGACTAAGAAGGTTGGAGAGCCATTGAGATGGCTGCCAGCGGAGAGGTGCTTGTGGCCAAGCTTGATGACCTGATTTAATCTCTGGGACTTACATGGCAGGGTGAGAGAATGACTCTTGCAAATTGTCTCCTGACCTCTATATGTACACCGTGGCAAACCTCCCATATTTATAAATAAATACATTTAAAAAACTGAACAAGAATAAGAACAGGTCAAAGGTATAGCTATGAGAAGCTAATAACGACATTTCATGGTATTCAGTTTCAAATCTGTTTAGTGCAACACACACACACACACACACACACACACACACACACACACACACACATTTTGAGATATAATCTCATCCTGGCTGGCCTTGAACTCACAGAGATCTGTTTGTCACTGCTTCCTGAGTGCTAAGATTACAGGCATGAGCTACCATGCCCAGCCTATTTGATATATTGGTCAGAAATTTGTCTCCATTTTGTCTTGGTGAATGTAAATTGGGTTAAGGTGGCCAAGTTTAAGGTAAGATTTTAGGAGGCTGGAGAGATGGCTCAGTAGTTAAGAACACTAGCTGCTTTTCCAGATGACCCAGATTCAATTTCTAGCATGCAGGCAAAACACCTATATACATTAAAAAGAAAAATTTAAAGACTATAGGGAACAATAAGGATGGGGAGAGATATATAGGAGATTTCTCTCTCTTTTTTTTTCTTTTTTTGAGATGGGGGTCTCACTCTGTAGTCCAGGCTGGCCTGTACTCATAATACATCCTAGGCTGGCCTCAGGCTCAAGGCAAGCATCCCGCCTCAGCCTCCACCCTGCATGTGTGAGGTAGGCAGTCTTTGGATGCCTCTTACCGTCTGGGCTTTCCATTCTCCCAGGCTAAAGTCCACAGCAGGCAGCAGGACAGGTGTGGACAAAGGGTTGATGTCAGGGCACTGACTCTGTTAAGAAAGATGGGTAGGAGGAAGAGAAGCTGAAATAGAGAGCAGGGTGGTGGTCTCCCTTGGTACCATGCCCATACCAGAGCTTCGGAGAGACCAGTGCAAATCACAGCACTTGACATGTGGATCAAAGACAACCTTGGAGTGAGAGGAAATGAAATCAACTAAGTGGATAGGAGGCACAGTGCTTGGGGATGCTCACCAGTCGGCTGTGAAGGAGATGGGAGTCACGAAGCAGCTTGTTTAGGAGTCGGGGGTCACAGGCAGGAGGAGCTGGGCTGGACAGAGTTATCCTTGCAGTAAGGAGAAGCATGGCCACCAAGAGCAGATCTTAGATGAGGAGAAGGGAAGTTAAAGGGTTAATAAAGGGAAAGTATTTCTTAGGTGGTGACTCAGGGACTACCATTTGGGAGGCAGACCTGAAATCCAGGGGTCTGCTCCCTTTTATTGGGAGACTGAGTTTTCCAGGCTTCTACTCCTGTTGCATTGTCCCCATATCCTACCCTGTCAAGCCATTCGTGAACTTGTTCCTAGCTCCCCAAGTGTTTTCTTACCAGTCAGCTCCATTCTTGCCAGGGTGTCTGGCTGGAGTAGCTCCCTGTATGGGGCCTCTCCCCTGAATCTTTCCTGAGGCCATGGAGGCGGCTTGAACTTTTGCACTTGGGCACAGAGTGGTGTTGGGCACAGGTGGGCCAAGGAATCTATCCTGAAAATGGCAGAAATAGTGACTATTTCAGTAGGTTTCAAAGAAAAGTCTGCTTGGGGTGGGGAAACAGGCTTGGAGGCCCCACGCCGCTGGCAGGCCAGTGTCAGGGCTGTTAGTGCTCCAACTGCTCCATGTTTTCTTGTCACTGCCTCCTCTTTGTCAGGGCTCTTCAGTGACTCTGATATGGTCTTGGTGCCCTGTCTACCAATTGTTGCCCTGCCAAGAGCAGCAAGACATGACATATATACACATCTCTTAAGAGGGCTCAACTTCCCAGCAACCTAGGTGTAAATGGGTGAGAATGTGAGAAGGGAATAGAGAAAGGAAGTGTGCAAATCTGGAGAAGAGTAGAAAGATGGGTTATCGACTAAGAAGAGGAAGTGGCAGGCAGGCACTTGTGTGGAAGGACAGCTAGAGTATTAGTGTTAGCAGGGATCTGAGGCAGGAGACTGGGTAAAGATATAGCAGCAGCACCAGAAGCACACCAGCTTCTCATTCTTTCCCTGTTTGCCCCACAAATAAAACCTGGGGTTCTTCTTTGGACTTCCAAGTTCTGAAATGCCCTGTTATTCAAATCAAAGGGCTAATAGTACTAGGACTTCCTTCCTGAGGCAAGTTGCACTGGGAGCAAGGCACCACCTACCTCACATGGTTTATCTCACCTAGACACTCACCCAGGTATCCTCCTCAGCTGCCCCGACCTCCCTGCCCCCTCCAGATCCCTTCAGTTCCTTCTTAGGACCCCCCCCCCCCACTTTTCACAAGTTGAGTGAATAGGCAATAGGACCCTCCTCTTCACAAGTTGAGCAAAGAGGCCTGCACCTGATTCAATATTGGGATCTCCTGTAGGTCTGTCAACATATGCAAGCCCTCCTCCCATTACCCTCTTCTTGGGCCTTGTCTCATCTGACCCAGTTTTCCCAGCCCCAGATTCAGAACCCTAAGCTAACAAGAATGACCATATGAGAATGGGGATTAGGATTATGTCCCTTAGTGCAAAGTTCTCTAGCCCTGCATGTACTTCTTTTCTTATTTTCTCATGGCCCGAAGGCAGCTAAGACTATTCTGAATTCTACCAAGTCTGTGAATAGTCCCTCATAAACCAGTACCCAACCCCCTTTCCCTGCTCTGTCCCGCTCCTCCCATTCTGGGAAGGCTCTGCTCTTCTTGACAAAGGTCAGTGCCTGTAGGTTCCAGTTTGCCTGCCCCTCCCCCAGCCAAGAGCCCAGTTCTTTTTTGTTCTTCATACCATACCCTAACTTAACCCCAAACTGTGCTTGTCACTCACCGGGTAGAGAAGGGATCCAGGACCAAGGTGCACAGCAGGCAGCTCTCTGGGGTGCAGATAGGTAGGAAGACACTCTTTGGGGCACAGCCCCTCCCCTGCAGCAGGGTCACAAGCCTGCCTAGGCCACTTCTACCCAATCAGAAAGCTGAGAGCCACCAAGCCCTGGTGAAGGCCCCGGAAATGACGAGTTCTTTTCCTACCTACTGGAACTGGAGCTCCTTCCCGGACCATGGTCCATGAATGAAGCCAAGCTCCTCCACCCACACACACTCCAGAGAGATTTACATAGGGGAGCTGTCTCATGTTCTAGGAGACAGGAGAACCTGGGATCTGAATGAGGGAGAGAGGAGAGGGTTAGTTTAGGAGAAATCTGGCAGAATACATGTGTTCATGGGAAAGAGAAATCTTGCTTTAGATTGATGGAGTTTCCCATTCCTGGCTCTCCAAATCTCTTTTTACCTGAACACTATACCTGCTGTTGAAATCCAACAGCACTTTAGCTTTCCTGGCATTTTCCTTATCCACTGGCAGTTTAGCTGTTGCCTATTTTAGAAATGATCATATTATAGGAAAGAAGGTATGGACAGTTTGAGGAGCTGGGGAATGATGGGGTATATGGTTAATGTGGGCCTAGAGCACATCTTTAATCCCAGCTACTCAGGAGGCAGAGGTAGGCTGATCTCTGTGAGTCTGAGGCTAGCCTGGTCTACCTAGTGAGTTCCAAGCCAGCCATGGCTACATGAGAACCTGTCTGAAAAAGAAGGAAAAGCAAACAGATTGACTGGACTTAGGTGTCTTTCTTCTACAGGGGCCACAGAAACCTGGATAGCTAACCACACTTAGCTCTGTGTGCAAGTCTGCCCTTGATTGCCCAATGGCCCTCTCCCGTTCCTACCACTATACATGTGACAAGAGAAATAACCAGGCCCATCTGTCCCTGACTTAGGAAAGACAGCTGCTGAGCCTCCCCCACAAATAACTCTGCTGGCCTTCTCTTTCTTGACTTGGCCCTGGCTCCAGCTCGGGTGCTTTCTCCTCAGTGCCTGCCTGCCCACAGTCTCTGTCCTTAGGGATCTCCTGGCCTGACCTTGCGCTCTCTCTCCCCTTGTTCCGTCTGCTCTGAAGATGGGCTGTCCACTAAGGAGTATGGCCCAGATCCCGGAATTCTCTAGTTCAATCAGAAAAGATGCCTCCTAAGATTAGGAAGCCCTGTGCTGGGATGGTGGGAAGAATGGTGGGGGTGGAGGAGATGGGGAGGCAGGACTAGGGAAGCAGGACAAAGGGGAGGAAAAGAGTGATCCTTTGGATGAAGGAGCAGGGTGGGAAAGCCAGGTGATGGTTGGATTAATTTGTGAACAGGTTACAAGGGAGAGGTTATTACTCTACTTGGTGCAGGGAGCACGTCCTCATTCTGGCTTGGTCCCTGTCCCTGGGAACTCCAGAAAGAGAAGAGACCCTAGAAGGGAACTAGGAATACAGCCAGAGTGAAGGAAGGAGGGTCTTAGGCTGGGAAGATCGTTGTTTTTTCAAAGACAAGTCCTCATCCTCCAGCGGCCCATCCTGCCCATGATTGGTACAGGCCGGAGGCCCAGCCTCTGCCCTTTCACTTAGCCCGAGGCTCCGGTCTCGGGATGGATACCACCTCCTGGTCCCGCCACAGGGGTGGCCGCAAGGAGTGTGTGTGGGGGTGTCGAAGCCCGCCTCTCCTCCCCCTCTTTGCGCCCCCGGTTCCTCCCTTCCCCCTGCCCACTCCGCTCCCCCCTCCTCCAATCCCTCCCTCCTCCCCTGCCGGGTCCCAGCTTGTCCCCCTCCCCCACTCGCGATCCGGACGCCGCTGCTGGGCCGGACCCCCCGGGCTCAGCCGGGCTTCTTGCGGAGCCGCCGCCGCGCCCCGTTTGCTGAGGAGGAGGCCCCGGGCCGGGACTCCTGGCGCGGGCATAAAACCGGCCGGAGCCGTCGCCGAGGGCACTACAGCGGCGTACGGCCCGGGTCAGTACCCAGCCGCCCGAGCTCTCCCGCCCCTCCCGGCCGGGAGCGGACTAGGCGACTGCGAGACGAGCCCCTTGCCACTGCCCCCCTCCTGGCCCCGACCCCCTCCCGCCGGCCCGCCTCCGGTCCGGCCCTACTCCCTCTCCTGCTCCCTCCTCCCGCCCGCCTCCCCAGCTGTCCGCTCCGCGTCATGCCGAGCCTCCCGGCCCCGCCGGCCCCGCGGCTGCTCCTCGGGCTGCTGCTCCTCGGCTCGCGGCCGGCCGATGGCAATGGCCCAGAGTCCCCCGCGCTGCCCATCCGTTCCGAGAAGGAGCCGCTGCCTGTTCGGGGAGCGGCAGGTAGGTGGGCGCCAGGGGTGAGGCGCGGGCGGGGAGTCTGGCTCTGGGCAAGTCTGCACCCACCGGGAGAGGGCCCCGGGCGCAGGTGGCTCGGCGCAGCGGGAGGGCGGGAGGGATAAGCAGAGGCGGCGGGGCGCAACGGTGCCAAGGGACCCAGGGCCTGGCGGGCAGAGCCCGGAGCAGGCATTACGGCACGAGCAACCGGACAGCGGCCGCCAGCCAAGCCCGTCCCCACAGGCTGCTCCTTCGGCGGGAAGGTCTATGCCTTGGACGAGACGTGGCACCCGGACCTGGGGGAGCCTTTTGGGGTGATGCGCTGCGTGCTGTGCGCCTGTGAAGCGGTGAGTGGATACCGCAGCTGCCCGCCCTACCCTAGAGGGTAGCGGAACGCTGGCGCCCTAAGCCGTAGTAGACTCGGAGATGCTCAGGGGAAGGCTGGTCCTCAAATCCGGGGAAACCCCTTTCAAGTCTGCGGTGTTGACAGTTATTGATCGCCCACCATGCGACTGGCTTTTAGCCAACTTCCCCCTTCCCATTACAACCTTGCTAGATAAATGGCATTATTAGCTTTACTTTGCAGAGTTAAGAGATCTTAAGAAACTTGTCCAGGGCCGTGTAACTTGTAAATAGCGGAGTTGACTGATTCCAGCAGAGGAACTTATCCTGGTGTCTGATGGTTGCACGTTACACTCACTTAATTTCCCTGTGTTCTCTGCCATCAGCCTCAGTGGGCTCGCCGTGGGAGGGGCCCTGGCAGGGTCAGCTGCAAGAACATCAAACCCCAGTGCCCCACCCTGGCCTGCAGGCAGCCGCGCCAGCTGCCAGGACACTGCTGCCAGACCTGCCCGCAGGGTGAGGCCCGCTGTACGCCGTGTTAGGGAGGGTGGAAGTCTCAACATTAGGTTTTGTGCGGCTTGGATCGCAGAGGAGGACTGGCCCCTCTGGTACCCTGCTGAAGCTAGTGGTCTTATTCCTTACCCCTGACTCAGAGCGCAGCAATTTGGACCGACAGCCAGCTGGCCTAGTCTTCGAGTATCCTAGGGACCCAGAGCACCGCAGTTACAGCGATCGAGGGGACCCCGGCGCTGGGGAGAGAACACGTGCTGATGGCCACACGGGTAGGTTGGGGTGGAGGTGGGCCTGATGGAGTTTGGGGCCAGCAGCAAGGGATGACAGTACTCAGGCCATCTTCTCTTCTCACAGATTTTGTGGCGCTGCTGACAGGACCAAGGTCGCAGGCGGTAGCTCGCGCTCGAGTCTCTCTCCTGCGCTCAAGTCTTCGCTTCTCTATCTCCTACCAGCGGTGAGACCAGGGAAAGAGCAGCGAGCAGCGGCTAGTAGCAGTGAATGGGGGCGGGAAAGGGGAGACTGCAGGCTCTGGATCCAGTTTCACTGGACCTTTCTTCACAGGCTGGACCGCCCCAGCAGGGTTCGGTTCACAGATCCCACGGGCAACATCCTGTTTGAACACCCTGCTGCCCCCACCCAGGATGGCCTGGTGAGAGTGCTTATCCAAAACAGGCACTTGCTGAGAGCATGCTTTGCATTGCCTCCTTTGGTTCTCACAACACCCCGGTGGGAGAAAAGCCCTGACATTATGATGCCCATTTTACAGAGGAGGGAATTGAGGCTCAGAATAGCAGAATGTGATTTGTTCAAGGTCATTTGGCTAGTAAGTGGTAAGCCAGGACTTGAACTCAAGGATCCTGGGTCCTTCATAGGAGGGTCTTTGATCTCCCTTCCATACCCCCCCTCACCAGGACTGGGCCTGCCTCTTAGCTGGCTTGTCCAGCATAGTGACTGTAGACTTTCTTGTCCCTATGCTGTAGGTTTGTGGGGTGTGGCGGGCAGTGCCTCGGCTGTCTCAGAGGCTCCTGAGGGCAGAACAGCTGCATGTAGCCCTTGTGACACCCACTCACCTTTCAGGAGAAGTCTGGGGGCCTCTCATTTGGCAAGGTGCTCTGGCTGCAGGTAGGGGGAGTGAGCAGTTCCCAGACAGAAAGGGCTGAGCCTTGTCTATCCCAGGGGTGGGTGGACTGGAGAGGCTCCTCTGATGGCTGTCATGTCCTCCATTCCCCAGAGACCTTCAGTGCCATCCTTACTCTGGAAGGCCCACAGCATCGGGGTGTTGGGGGCATAGCCCTGCTCACCCTCAGTGATACAGAAGACTCCTTGCATTTTTTGCTGCTCTTCCGGGGTCTGCTGGGACCCAGGGATGAAGGTGAGCAGTGGAGAAGGCATTCATGAGAGTTTAGGGGAGGATCTCAACTTTCAGAAATGCTCACTTGTACAGCTCTTGCAGGCCCAGCCCAGGTCCCCCTGAGGCTTCAGATTCTCCACCAGGGACAGCCACTTCGAGAGCTCCAGGCCAACACCTCAGCTGAGGTAAGGGAAGGCCTGGGTTTTGCAGCTGCTTGCTTTGGCCTCTTGTTGTTGCCCACCACATTCTGCACTGTTCCCAGGAGCCAGGTTTTGCTGAGGTGCTGCCCAGCCTTACAGACCAAGAGATGGAGTGGCTGGTACTGGGGGAGCTGCAGATGGTCCTAGAGAGGGCAGGTGGGCCAGAGCTACGCATCAGTGGATACATTACCACCAGGCAGAGCTGTGATGGTGAGGCAGGGTGGGGCTCGGCGCTGTGGGTACACACAACTCAGAGGCATAAGCATGTGCTAAAGAAACGGTCAAAGAAGATGTGGGAGAGAGTTCCTGGGGGTTCTGGGTGTGGGCAAGCCCGCTGCCAACTGTCTTGCCCTCCTGCAGTCCTTCAAAGCGTCCTTTGTGGGGCTGATGCCCTGATCCCAGTCCAGACGGGTGCTGCTGGCTCAGCCAGCTTCATACTGCTAGGAAATGGCTCCCTGATCTATCAGGTAAGAGTCAGAGGCTATAGGAGGTAGGGAGGGCAGCAGGGCAGAGCCTTGGCCTGCAGGGGGAAAGGCCCTAGATCTTGGCTGGCAATCCAATTGCCCTCCCCCCAACCCTGCCCACCAGGTGCAAGTAGTAGGTACAGGTAGCGAGGTGGTGGCCATGACACTCGAGACCAAGCCTCAGCGGAAGAACCAGCGCACTGTCCTGTGCCACATGGCTGGACTCCAGCTGGGAGGACACATGGTGAGGGCCCCAGGCAGAGTTGTGCCAGGGCTGCCAATACATGGGCTGCGGGAAGCCAGGTTGGTTGAATAGGGGTGAGCAGTATTGTTCACACACTCATGGGCTCCCTCAGTGAGTCCTTTATCCACTTGACACATTTTAGTAAACCTTAGGTGGGGACCCTGCCCTCATTCTCAGCAAGTTCACAGTTAAAGGAGACATCAGC